AGGTCTTTTAGTTCAATTGGCAATGTGTAAAGTAGGGAAATAAGTCATCCTTTGTCACGATATCTCTTCTTCAGTACAAAAGTTCACATCTTTATGAAATGTTTAGCTGAACAACAACTGGCTTTTGTAAGTAGCTAGTAATATTAAAAATCTAAAACTGATCAATTAAAGGGAGTTGCCATCAAGTTTCTAAAAATAATCTTAAACCAAGATGCTCACTATCTTTCAAAAATAGATTACATATTGGAAGCTTGATGTTACCAAGTCAAAGTAATGCTTTGGATTGAACTAAAAAAGGGCATCGCTACACAAGCCAACAACAAAAAAAGAAGATTTGTGTTAGTTAATTAATTAACACATTTCCCAAGTTTGCAAAATCAAGAACTATCAAAATTTCAGCATTCTGTCAGTAAGCACATACTTAACGAGAATCCAACATTAAAATGTCATCTTGAAGAAATTAAGCATATTTTCCTTGTACAGTCTATCTTTTAGCAATTCAAAGTCTAAATTTTAATTGCTTCAGGAAAAGGGAAAGAAATTCAGCTATTTCCAAGTAAGGGGGGAAAAAAAAAAATCACTTGAAAACATCAATCTTGCTCAGTCTAAGCAGTCTAAATAAAAACAAAACTATATTCATTTACCAAACTTTATTGCAACTGATTATGAAATGCAAGTAAAGCTACCACAACAGCTAATCTTTCTTTTCAGAATCTGACTTGTTCCTTGAGTTATGCTAATATCATCATATTTATTCTTCCAAGTTCCAATAAGATGTAAAACAACAAAAACATGAAATCTCCAAGAACGTCCATATTAAAAATCAGACAAAGTTCAACATAGTTGAAAATGTAAAATAATAATGCAATTTTAAAGAATTTATCTGTGTACAGAGTCACAACTTCAAAATGTAGTTTGCTTCAACATTTGGAAACTTTTTACAAAACAGCAATGGTGGAGATGATTTAATTTACTTCAGTGCATACAGGTCATATTTTAAAACTTGTGTAATATTCCAGTTAGGGATTCTAGATCAAGTGGACACAGCCTTAAAATCAGAGCCAACTCATTCAAAAAAAGTTAGGAAATACTTCTTCACTAAAATAGGTGAAAAAGCAAAAATCAAACAGAAGCCAATTCAATTAATAGTTTTTAAATTTGAGGTTAATAGATTTTGTTAGTCAAGAAAGTTTTGGGGTTTGGAGCTAAATCATATAAATTGAGCCAAGATACATATCAAAGATCTTATTGAATGGGTTGAACGGTATACTCCTGCTCTTACATTCTACAATCACAACCACCTTAGCACTAACCGCATCACCAATAAACAGTCAAATCAGGTTTTAAGGATACAGAATTTTGGATTGCACAAGAAAAAGGCAGTGCCATACAAGTCAAAGTGGAAATTCAAACTGGCTAAATAAATTAACACACAAAATATATATAATGACTGTCAATAGGGACTGTACACCTGAAAAACCCCCAAAATCAATATGGGAGTTTTCTTCCTTTCACACGGTGTGTCTAATCAGCAAATCTACATTCAACAAGCAGGATTCACAAATCATGTAATATGCAACATTTGCAAAACAGTAACTAAAAGACACTTGGCTCAAGGTTTCAAGGCAAAAAAATGTCAAAGTAGCATAATAAAACATGGAAGCATTTTATCTAGACATTTAACCACAATAAACTACATTATAAACATTGTCATTTTAAAATTAAATATTTTTTTTAAATTACCAGGTAATTCTAAGAAGTAGTTTACATTTTGATAATCAATAAATTTGGAACTGTCCACATTAGCAGAACCAGTTTAACATGTCAATCTCCATTTTAACAGTTTTAATTTCAATTCTCTAATACTGTAACTAACTATTCTGCATAAGTTAATGTAACAGTAATTTTTGCTCACGTGTAGATCAAAGATGACAATTATTACTTTTTAATAATAGTTTGAGCCCATATGCTTCTGTCACTAAAATACAAGTACTATATTTACAAAGTGTGACACACAGGGATTTTTAGCTGCAGCTTTAAATCCATCCGATAGAACTTTAAAGTTCTGTTTCTGTACACATTCCTAACCGAGTTACACCTTACTTACAGAAGGATGTTAGTGCATTGGAAACAGTCAGAGAAAGTTTACTAGATTAATACCTGGAATGATCGAACTGCCTTCTGAGGAATGTCTAGACAGTTAGGCCCGTATCCTCAGGAGTTCAGACCAGTCAGAGGTGACATAATTGAAACATACAAGGTCCTGAGGGGACTTGTGCAGGTGGAGTTGAAAGCATGTTTCCTCTGGCAGGAGAATCTAGAAACCAGCAGTCAGTTTAAAAATAAGGTGGTGTCCACTTGAAACAGAGATGAGGAAGAATCTTTTCATAGAGGTTTGAGTTTTCAGAATTTCCTTCTTCAAGAGACAATGGATGCAGAATCTCTAAATATTTTTAAGGCAAACGTAATAGACTCTTGACTACCAAAAGGATGAAAGATTATCGGGGATATGCAGGTATGTAACCTTGATTGACAAATCCTTACAGTGTGGAAAGAGGCCTTTCAGGCTATCGAGCCTGTACCGCCACTCTGAAGAGCAACCCACCCAGATCCAGTCCTGCCAACTCCACATTTACAAAGGCTAACCCACCCAGCCTACACATCCCTGGACACTATGGGGCAATTTACCATGGCCAATCCATTTAACCAGCACAATTTTGGACTGTGGGAGGAAACTGCAGCACCCAGCAGAAAGCCAAGCAGATGTGGCGAGAACATGCCAATTCCACCCACACAGTCACCCAAGGCTGGAATCGAAGGCAGGTTCCTGGTACTGTGAGGCAACAGTGATAACCACTGAGCCACTATGTCACCCTTGACATTAAAATCAATTCAGCCATGATCTTACTGAATGGCAGAGCAGGTTTGAAGGGCTGAGTGACCTACTTTGGCTCCTTGTTCATATGTTCGTATAATTTCTTTCAACCAACAGAAGAAAGCACATGTTTACAACATTACCAAGAATAACAGAAAATGTAGCCAAGATTTAATTCAATCAAATACTACAGAATCATTGTTTGAATTTAAAATGCACTATCTTCTTGCTGTCAACAAAGTCAGGCTAAGATTAAAGATTGATACTTGCTTGATTGAACTACTAGATGAAAACTATTATTATGGTCATCCTCCCAAGTGTTACAGCACATTTGATTGAAAATAAGTTCTTTACTTAAATTGACATTTCTCTGTTCAAAATCTCTCCCAGTCTTATCTTCTTCTTAAACCATTGTCTGAAAAACCCTGGGTTCAACCACCATTTTGAAAATCTTTCCTTTAGGTTTTTCAGCTATGAACCTAAATACTAGTAGAACAATTATATCAATTTCATGACCAATTTTTGACTGAAAAACTTCAAACAGAAATCCTGTTCCATCTATAATATTAACTTTTAAAATATTCGCCAACTGTCAACAGACATTTCACTCTGAAGGATTTACTGCATGCATTTATAAAAGGTTAATAATGTTAGTAAGATTTTATAAGAAATACACTTCAATACTATTTTCCAAATGTAGTTTGATAAATAAAACTCCACTGATAAATATAGCTGATGTCCAGGACACTAACAATGAATCACCCAACTAAGATAATCTGCTGCAGACATCAATACAGGACAACAGGTAGATGTTTTTGAATAATTTGAGCCATCCTGATTTGTGTTGATCTACTATGCCTTACAGTTGTTGCAAAATGATTGCACTTCTCCAAGTTCAAAACTCAAACTTTCAAATATTTTCCAAACATAAAAATAACACCTACATAAAATAGTTGCAATTGTACAAACGTCGGTGCAGCCTACATCAATTCTGGCAATAAAAGTGAATAATTTGTGCATGTTTATCATTGACCTGGCTTTAAGTTGTCACACAAACCTATCACAGACCTAGATCTCATATACAGTTAAAGTTACAGGCAAATAGTAAAAAGTTAATATTTCTTAGTGCAAGTTAATCTATGAAGCTCATTTTTTCAATTAAGTAAGAACTAATATTTAATAGGCAAATTCAGTAAAGAAAACATGCTTCTTTTGACAAGCAGGATTATGGCTTTAACCTACAAATACACAAATCCCACAGCAGATTAAAACGCAAATTCAGACAGCACAAAATGTACCAACAAGTACATCCAAAATCACACTGAATAACTTAGTAACATTGCAATGTGCCCAAAGATAAATGGACGCAAGAATGGAAATGACAAAAAATACACTCCTACAGAGAAAAGGTACTGAAAAATACCACTGAATTACAGAGCAACTTTGTTCACTCAACCAAAGCAGAACTTCAGCAATGCTCCTTCAAGGCTTTTAAGCGAGCATCATTAATTACAAAATATATTTTAAACACTGAACCTTCATGATGTTACCAAAAGTTGGCAGCTTTCTAACACTCAGAGCATTTCTTGCCAACTACTGTGATGTTGGGAAATCATCTTGTTCACCAGAAGCTGCATGGGGAAGCATCTTCAGTCAAGATTTTTTTTGATAAAAAGGCAGAACATTTGTCAGACTAGCACCTGCACTTTTCTTAGAATTTTATCCATGGCCAATTAAACATCAACTGTGAAGGGATATTTCAACAAAAAAGGGGGAAATAACCACATATTTAAAACACCAAACTGAAAGATTCAGAAAGTAAAGCAGACTAAGGAGGCTTGAAGGATAGTTCAAAGGTTAAAAATAGCTTTGGTGGAATACAAGTCTGTTTTGCAAACAGTGCAGATTATTCCCCCCTTTTTAATACAACGGCAGCAACAACGTGACAATAAACCTTACCTTATCTGCGCACTGAAAGCTTCTAGTGATCAGGCAATGGATAAACTGGTACTGCCTGGGCTGTCAATAGCAAGTGGTAGCGACTGAACACTCATGAAAATTGAGATATGCAAAGCCCCCAGTGGTGCAGCTGTGGGTAGGGCTGTCTTGTCTCCTCTTTTCTTACCTCCAAAGCTTCCAGGGTGGTGAAACTGGCGATCGCAAATCCGTCGATGATGTCCTCTTCCTGGGAGCTCGATGCCCGTCTCTTGCGGCGAGGGGGGCGGCAGGAACGGGATGAAGCGGGGATCGCCGCCGTTTTGCCGGGGCTCGGGTTCTCGTCCCTCTCGGAACCCGAGGAAGGGCTGTGCGGCCGGGCATTGCGGCTCGCAGCCTCCCGTCTCCTCACTCTGTCCCTCTGAGACCGGGATCGCCTGCTCTGCTTCAGCCCACTACACCGTGGGCCCTCCATATTTCTCTCTCTCTCCCCTTCCCCCCCCCCAAAAAAAAATACTGAGGTAAAAGAAATTACCTCAGGACAAAAAAAACAGGAGGGGGAAAGAGGGAAGAAATTAAAAGAAATGATCAAATAGCAACCCCCCCCTCCCCAAACCAGCTTTTCCTTCTTCCTCACAAGAGAAAACAATGCAGGCCCGCAGCCAGCATGGAGACAACTGCCTCGGTGAAAACTTTGCTTACTGCAATGGAAATCCTCGAGTCAGCGGCTCCGGGACGCCTGTTTTTTTTATCATTCAGGACTTGCCAGCTTTCAGGCTTTCCAGCCCCAAAGACCTGCGCATTCCGGCCCAGAGCCGCCGCGCACGCGCCGTGAGGCCGCGCCGTGCGTTTTTTTCCACTCCCTACCTCCTGCGCCTGCGCGTTACAACCCCCCCCACAAAAAGCCTTACCACAAATACCCACCGCCCACCCCACTCCTCCCGCGCGCACCAACCGCCAGCGCTCGAGCGCCGGCCCCAAGCACTCGGAGCACTCACCGGGGAGGGGTCGAGGGTGGGAGCGGGAGGACACTGATCTGGCAGAGTGGGGATGTGAGAGGTGGGGAGGAGGGATCTGAGGGAAGGGCATCTGACAGAATTGGGGGGGGGCCGGGGTGGCGTTCAGATGGAGCGAGGGGAGGATGGAGCCGAGAGAGGGGAAGGGGATCTGACAGAAAGGTCTGAGGGAGGGGAGTTTGGACCTGATGAAGAGATGAGGGGTCATCTGAGAGTGTGGAGAGGAAGGTGATCTGAAGGTGGGAAGGAGGAGAGATGGGGATATGAGGAAGGGGTGGGAGATTTGAGGAATGAAGGGAGGGAATGGGATTTTAAAGAGGGGAGGGGGTTTCTGGGATCTGACGGTCTACTGTATCTGAGTGGGGTTCCAGGGTATCTGAGGGTGGGAAGGATCAGGGAAGGATGAGTGGAGGGGATATGAGGAAGAGGTGGGAGATTCAAGGAATGGAAGAAGAGATCTTAAAGGAGGGAAGGGGATCTGAAAGAGAGGAAGGGGCTTCTGGGATCTGAGTTGCTACTGGATCTGAGGGGGTTTCCATTGAGTTTTGAAAGAGGTGTGGGTTTCAGCTAGGGTCTGGAGATGAAGGTTTCAGGAGGGATCTGAGAGGGAAGTTCAGGAGAAATCTCAGGGGCCAGGGTACAATTGTACACTCCACATCCACCTCTTACTCCTCAACATCACCTTCCCTCTCCCCTCTGACCTCACCTGACTCCACCCTGATCCTCTCCAACACTTCTTCACTTTGCTGTCTGTGGGTGAAGCTGAGAGGCTGAAATGTGGGGATGAGGAGAGGGTCAGAGGTCGAGGGAGGGGTCAGGAAGAGGAGTGGAGTTTGAGGGTGAGGATCAGGTAGAGGAAGGTTGGCATCACAAAGTTGGGGATGGATGGGGTTGAGGAGAAGTGGGATTGGGTGAGGACAAAAGCTGAGCATGGGAAAGATATATTGGTAGTGGAAACAGGCTGGGGGAGGACAGCACTGAAGGTGGCAGTGATGTACTAACAGGGGAGGGTTTGAACGGGAAAAGCAAGTCAAAAGGGAGGAGATACAAAAATGAGTGAGAAGGAAGTTGAGTGTGAAGGGAGGTGTTGATTGACAGGGGGAGGCATATTGGAGGGGTTGAAAGAGAGGGAGTCAAGAGGGGGGTGGGGAGAAAAAGGGAGGCCAGCAGGTAGGAGATAAGGGGAATATGTAAACACACAAAGGCTATGTAATGATGGGCATGAAAAGTTTATGTACAGCTATTCTGGATTAAAAGAAAGTATTAATGCAAGATTAGAACAAGGTAATGTTCAGGTGTAATTCCCTCTACGGTTGAATAGTCTGTAGATATTCAACTGTCTGGGCTACTGAATACTCTTAAATAAAAACTGAAAGAACTGCAGATGCTGTAAATCAGGAACAAAAACAATGTTGCTGGAAAAGCTCAGCAGGTCTGGCAGCATCTGTGAAGGAAAAACTGAGTTAACGTTTCAGGTCCAGTGACCCTTCCTCAGAACTGATAGTGGCTGGGAAAATGCCAGTTTATATGCAGAGAAAAGGGAGGGGGATGGGCTAGGGAGTAAACGATAGGATAGAGCCTTAAGAAAGAGAAGAGCAGTTGGACAGACAAAGAGTTGATTAACGATCAGGCTGGAAGGGGGAATAGTTGTTAATGGGAGCTCTTAGTGACTAACAACAGGTGGTGTGTGATGGCAGGCTATGTGGTAACAAGGCCTGGTGTGTAAGGTACGGGACTGGGACAATGGGAGAGTTTAGGCCCTAAAATTATTGAACTCAATATTGAGTCCGGAGGGCTGTAGGGTCCCCAAGTGGAAAATGAGGTGTTGTTCTTCCAGCTTGCGTTGAGCTTCGCTGGAACACTGCAGCAAGCCAGAGACAGAGATGTTGGCCAGGGAACAGGGTGGTGTGTTAAAGTGGCAGGCAACAGGTAGTTTACGGGACAACAAGGTGCAGGGCTGGATGAACACAGCAGGCCAAGCAGCATCATAGGAGCAGAGAGGCTGACGTTTCGGGCCTAGACCCTTCATCAGAAAAGGGGGAGGGGAAGGGGGTTTTGAAATAAATAGGGAGAGAGTGGGAGGCGGATAGAAGAGGGATAGAGGAGAGGATAGGTGGAGAGGAAACAAACAGGTCGAAGAGGCGGGGATGGGGCCAGGAAAGGTGAGTGTAGGTAGGGAGTTAGGAAGGGGATAGGTCAGTCCAGGGAGGACGGACAGGTCAAGGGGGCGGGATGAGGTTGGTCGGTAGGAGATGGAGGTGCGGCTTGGGGTGGGAGGAGGGGATAGGTGGGAGGAAGAACAGGTTAGGGAGGCAGGGACGAGTTGGACTGGTTTTGGGATGCGGTGGGGGGAGGGGAGATTTTGAAACTTGTCTTTTTTGCGAGCAGACTACTCTTGAATACTTTGTAACGCGCATTCAGAATTCTGAATACTCTTGTCCACATCATACCTAAGTGAGTTGATATTTCCCCCCTTCAGTTTTACTCTTAAAAACAAAATGCTATGTGCGTGATCTGCTGACTTATGACATCTTATTAAAGGAAATCCCTGTTGCATTGAGGATTGTATTCTGATTACATCAATTTTTTCACGAAAGCTACGAATCACAACATGATAAATCTGTGACAGAGTCACGTCCACAGTACTTATTGTTAATTTGAGGGATTGATGCTCCTGTCCCCTGAATGTATTGCAAGTGCTGAGCACTTCTAAATCTTCCTAAATATTATAAGCAGAAACAACCTGCTAAATGTCATCCATTGTAAGTAACCATCAGTTATTTTGTTTTCTCTGTGTTTTGCTCCATGTCATTCTTAACAATAAACACAACTTCATGACTCTTAAATAAGTTTAGTATGCTGTTGACCATAAATATCTGTTTCATATTTTCAGGGTTGCCAGCCTGTATAAAAAAACTCTCTTTGAAAGAAAAGAGAATGGTAGATGGGTGAGCCATTGTGGGAAAGGAATGAGACCTAGACCAACCAAATAAATTAATTTTTGTGACAGAACTGGAATTTTTTCTCAAAGCAAACAGTTTGGTTATTCCAGCTTGCATTGAGCTTCGCTGGAACACTGCAGCAAGCCAGAGACAGAGATGTTGGCCAGGGAACAGGGTAGTGTGTTAAAGTGGCAGGCAGGTTCTGAGGAATACTCTGAGGTCACCGGACCCGAAACGTTAACTCTGTTTTCTCCTTCACAGATGCTGCCAGACCTGCTGAGCTTTTCCAGCAACTTTGTTTTTGTTTGGTTATTGTGTTGACTGCCCAACTGAAAATATCTTACTATTAACAAGAGTAATGGTCTAGACTGACCATCAGCCATATCTGGCCTAAAACCCTAACAATCCATCATACAAGGCGAAACCCGAAATAATTTTCTCCCTAAACCTCTTCCTTCTAAACCTCTCCCTTCTCCTTTAAGACAAACATTGAAATATACATCTTTGCCCAAACTTTTGGTCATCTTTCCTTGCAACTCCTTATGTGGCTTGATGTCAAATTGGGTTTGAATCTCCTGTGATGTGTCGTTGACATGATTTATCATAATAGAGAATGCAATATAAAGGTAAGGTTTAGTTTACTTGCTGGTTCCTCCTGTAAATGTTGATAGCCTGGAGTTGTAGAAACATAGAGGTAGGAGCAGGAGGAGGCTCTTCAAGCCTGCTCCACCATTCTTCATGATCATGGCTTATCGTTCAACTCAATAGTCTACTCCTGCTTTCTCCCTCCAACCTTTGTTCCCATTTGCCCCAAGTGCTATATCTAATCGTCCCTTGAATATATTCAATGTTTTGGTATCAACTACTTTTTATGGTAATGAATTCCACAGGCTCACCACTCTTTGGGTGAAGAAATATCTCCTCATCTCTGTCCTAAATGGTCTACCCCGAATCCTCAGACTGTGACTCCTGGTTCTAGACACACCCACCAGTGGGAATATCCTCCCTGCATCCATCCTGTCTAATCCTGTTAGAATTTTATAAGTCTCCATAAGGTCACCCCTCATTTGTCTGAACTCCAGCAAAAACAATCCTAACCTAGTCAATCTTTCCTCATACATCAGTCCTGAAAAGATCTCACTTGTCCAAGTCTGAAATCACACCAATACTTTCTGTTAGTATCTACCACTTTGGATGTATGGAAGTTACAATGTTAATACTTTCTGTGGCGCACAAAGCTCCAGTTAATGTACTCAAGCAGTGCTCATAGAAACATTAAACTTGCTTGAAGAAGTTATCCTCCTCCCTCCGCAGACACCTCAGTGGATCTCTATTTCTGAGCTCCCTTCCCCCTCCCCCATTTCTGAAGAAGGGTCCTGACCCAAAACGTCAACTTTCCTGCACCTCTGATGCTGCCCGGCCTGCTGTGTTCCTCCAGCTCCACACTGTGTTATCTCTGACTCCAGCATCAGCAGTTCTCACTATCTCTAAACTTGGAAACCTTTGACTTTTACAAGATTTGGAAGCAATGGAAGTTACAAAATATTAAGAACAATTAGCTTAGTCTTATTTTACTACATTCAAAGTGTGGACGTACATTTCAGAAAATGTGAATTCAAATCTCAACATAGCAGTTAAGAATTTCAACTCACTTCAAAAAAAAACTTGGACTAAAATGCTGGTATTAGCAAAAGTGACCACAAAGCTGTCAGATTGGGGTAAAATCTCAACAGCTTCACAAATGTTCTTCAGAGAAGGAAGTCTGCTGACATTATGGTTTACATGTGACTTTACATGTTCACTCATCAACATGGTTAATTCTACTGTCTACC